TGCCAGATCCAGCTATTATAAGCGTTTTTGGACTTGTCTTTTCCACTTAATTTAACACTTTTTATAAAGTTATAAAGTAGGAAGTTGCAGTTTAGAGTCAGCGATATCTTTATCTTATCTTATTTGCAAAAGATTGGAAATAATTTCGGTTTATTTTTAGTTTTTTGTTTGATTTAGTATCAATATCTGGCAACACTACATCGCCGGCACTTAAAGGGGTCATATGATGCGATTTCAATTGTTCCTTTCTCTTTGGAGTGTTACAAGCTCTTGGTGCATAAAGAAGATCTGTAAAGTTGCAAAGACTAAAGTCTCAAATCCAAAGAGATATTCTTTATAAAAGTTAAGAGTTAGCCACGCCTACCTAAAACGGCTCGTTCTAACACGCCCCCACATGTCTACGTCACGATGTGGGAAGATTTGCATAACGCCGCCCAAATGTTCACGCAAAGAAAGAAGGCATAACTTTTATTCTCGCTGTAGTATTGTTGTTGCAGCCGCCGTGTGTTTTGTTGTGAAAGCTGAATTTTCAGCATCATTACTCCAGTCTTCAGTGTCACATGATCCGCAATACCAAATGTAGTCATTCATCAATTTTTAAGTGTGGTTTCAGTGTCTAAATGCTTGTGGGTTCATGTCATGACACACTATATAATATTATAGTCATGTAAGTTAAGCCCTAAACATTTATACAGTGGTTAACCATTATACAAATATGATGTACCCGCCTCTAATCCAGAGGTACGTCCTTAACCCTATAAAGCCTGCAGTATTCTATTTGCCAAAAATTCCAAATTACATGACAAAAAATTGTAGTTAGTAACATAAATAATCCATTACATTAAACATTTTAGGTAATATAATCAGCCTACTTTTGGATTACTTTTAGATTTCTTTTGACCTAACTCGTTTATCACATTGATTTAAATAGTATAATCTTGTACCATGCGGATATAAAAATGCAAAGGAAAAGAAAATATATTCCATTTGTTGTTATTAACAACACAAAGTGCATTAAACATTGCATTACGTCAACGTTTCCCAAACTGGGGTTCGTAAAGGAACTGCAGGGGTTTTGAGAGTTTAATGAAAAACGAATAATTAATTAAATCATAATGTAAAAATTAAATAAGCCATTTTAAAATAACATCAATCAAAATTAAACACTTACTAAAAAAAATGCCGTGAACATGCAAATGTGTTACTTAATTATTAACTTATTGCCTTAAAACCTCAGGGGTACATCAAGTAAATATATTAGGTGAAAGTGGTTTGGCTGACAAAAAAAAAAAAAGTTTGTCAATCCCTGCATTACATGTAAATAAATAATAACATGTAGTTGTGCATGTTAATGTGATTGAAAGTTACTATAATGACTGCTAGTTGACATGTAGTTGCAAAGTTACTTATAGTCAGTAGAATGTCTAAAGTGGACTATCAAATTAAAGTGTTACCTCACTCTGGACTAATCTGAGGCACAATATTGTTCATATTCCTCATCCTTTCTGGTTATAAAGCCTTCCGCTTTAGCTGCTAGTACGCCACAACAGCCCACTGTGACTGTTCAGTGTGTGAACTACAGGTAGCAGCACTGAGCGAGAAATAGCCGCTGGGTTGAGTTGTGTATTGCTGGCAACAAAACATGTAACTAAAAATGGTTTAAATTTACTGTGAGCAGTATGCAAATCTTCACTGCATGTAAAACTGTATCCCACAATGCAGTGCATTCAGTGTTACCTTCCATTTCAAGTGTGATGAATGTGTTTTCTTGACTCAAGGAGAAAAACTACACAAAATTGGATTAAAAATGCAAAATCACTAACATCACACCACACTTTAGTATCATCATTTTAAATTATTAATGATAATTTTAATATTATCGTTTTATATTACATAATTGTATACTGCATACTATTTCACATACTTTGCAAAATAAAATTTTAAAAAGCAGTAGGTAGCGTAGCAGTATGAGTAGTAGGCAAGTATTGAATTCTGAACCTAGCCTTTTGGATAAGAATAGAATAAGGAAATGTATATATGAGAAGAGACAGGATGAAAAGGAGAATGGAGACAAAACGAGGAGGATGTAAACACACAGAGACAGTCTGCCAGGGGCCTGGCTTAACACCACCCTCACTGCAACCCATGCCAGCCAACCAGAGAGCCACCAGCACAGGGCTCGCATGCACAAGACCCGTTGTCAGGGAGAAAAAGCCCTGAGTGTGTGCTTGTGTGTGTGCATACTGATGGAGAGACCTCAGTTATCCTGACGGAGTCCTCCAGTCTCATACACACCAAACAGAGCTCAACAACACTCAGCAGTGTCTGTTTATGAGACAGCGATTAAGCTTATTTGGGATCTAATCTGATCTTGCCACCAAATCGAGTCACGAAACACTCCTGCACCGAACTCTGATCTTCTGGATCTGTCCACATCTTATGGGTTTCACTGCAAGGATTCACATCCTCCCATTGATGAAGGGGGCTTTCTTTTAATCACAGAAAGAAAAAAAAAACAGTTTTGTCATGTAAGACTTTAGATTCTTTTAGACTCTTTATTCTCATTGGTCAGTTGTTCCACTGGTCAAATGTGACATTCTGTGGTCAAATTTTTTTCTGTAATGACAAAACTATAAATGATCAACATATTTTCTACATAGCTGTGCCAGCCTTATGTATCTCATATGTGACCCTGGACCACAAAACCAGTCATAAGGGTAATTTTTGAAATGTATATATATATATAAGCTTTCCATTGATGTATGGTTTGTTAGGATAGGAGGACAATATTTGGCCGAGATACAACTATTTGAAAATCTGGAATCGGAGGGTGCAAAAAAAAAAAAATCTAAATATTGAGAAAATCGCCTTTAAAGTTGTCCAAATGAAGTTCTTAGCAATGCATATTACTAATCAAAAATTAAGTTTTGATATATTTACGGTAAGAAATTTACAAAATATCTTCATGGAACATGATCGTTACTTAATATCTTTATGATTTTTGGCATAAAAGAAAAATTTATAATTTTGACCCATACAATGTATTTTTGGCTATTGCTACAAATATACCCCAGCGACTTAAGACTGGTTTTGTGCTCCAGGGTCACATATATGCACTCTCTTTCTTTACTCTGTTCACAAATATCTGGACACTTTATCTTGCGTTAAATTTTTAAAGAAAGGTAATGCAAGCCAAATATAAACTCAAATCAGAATTGAATGTCAATTTATTTATTAGCCTGTAAATGCTTTGTTACTAGAGTCAACATTTGTTATGGTCTATAAATACTAGAAAACAAGAAATTGTGCTCCGATGAGAGCAATGTCTGGGGAAGGTGACCTCTGGTGGTGGGGAGGTGCTATGACAGGCACATCACTAACCTCAGATAGCAAGCTGCTCAGATATTGGCTAAAATAGATGAGATTAGAAAGATTTGTTTTCATGTGTGTGGAAATGATCAGACTTAGAAAAATGTTTGAATCACCAACTGTCACAGAGCATAACATTTCACACACTGACAGCATCAGAATTACACACAAGCCTTTCTAACTGATAGTAATGAAAGCATGTTAATATGAACTAGATGAGTAAAGTTTGCAAACAAACTTTGAAGCTGGCTTGAAAAAGCCTTCCCTGCTAAAAAAACCCCAAAACAAAACAAAAAACAGCTAAAACCGGCCTAAGCTGGTTGGCTGGTCATAGCTGGTTTAAGCTGAAAGTAGCTGGTTTTAGCTGGTCTCCAAGCCTGACCAGCTAAAGAAGTGGCCAAAACCCCTCTAAAACCGGCCTGCTGACCAGCTATGACCAGGCTGGGTGACCAGCTGAAACCAGCCAACCAGCTTAGGCTGGTTTTAGCTGTTTTTTTTTTCAGCAGGGTTGTCTGAAAGTTTGAAATAACTTTGAGAAGCTTAAAGTTTGAATTGAATTGTTAAAATTGAAGTTTGGGACAGAGAGTGAACACGTTTCTAGCATGATTTATCACATTGCTAACATGTTTAATGTGTTGCTAGCATATTGTAGAATGTTTCTAACGTGATTTGGCTTGTTGTTACCATGTTTAACATTTGGCTAGCATGAAATAGCATGTTACTAGCAT